CTGCCAAGAAATCTGACATGCTTTCTCAATATACATTCTAAATAAAATATCAAGTAGTTAGAAACATATATGCACAGTTTCCTTCTGCTAGGTAGAATTTTAGACAAACAAATCAATTACTCGTCTAACCTCCATTCAACTACTTCATAGAAAACTAACTGTAATTCATGTTTCTAAGCAAATCCCCTTCTTTATTCTGAGGTACCATAAACTGGCCAAGTATTCTTTCCTATTTTTATAAATGTAGAAACAGAAACAGATATGCACTCATTAAGTTTAGGTCATTATTTGATCAATCGCGTACAAAACTGTGTCTGGAACTATAGAGACTATAATAGTTGATAAGGAGTGTCCCTTGAAATCTAATATCTCAAAAGATGACAAAAATTAATATTTATGAAAGTAGACTAAAGTAAGAAAGTCATACATTTTCAGTAGGACCTCAGAAAGGGAAGAGACTGACTCCAATAAAGAGAACAAAGAATGCCTTTATGAAGGTGCTGGAAGGAGGCTATTTGGTGATGAGCAAAAGAAATGGGGAGAAGGACTCCTCCAAGCAGAGGGAGTATCAAATAAATGCAAAAATATAAGATGAATCTGCACTCCAGGTATTTGCTGATCTCCTATGATACATCCATTTTATGTTTCTTGTATACTTGCTGGGTTTCCTATAAGAATATAAGGATGAATTTTCTACTAATATTTTTGGTATCATAGTATCTTGGACATGTGCAATTTGCTTCCTGCTTAATAGATATCATTGTAATTACAATGTATTAAGAAATTAATAATTTCTAATTATTAATATACTTAAGTTGTTCAGCCATGATCAATAGGAGTCATCAGCCTAGCTCCTTGTGACATTGACAGAAGAAGGTAGAGAGGTTTTCCAATCTGCCTTTTCCTTTCATTACTGAACAGCTCCTATTGGACTGGTCTTCCTCAACCATAGCTTGGAAAATTCCAGCTTTTCCTGTATATATTGAGTATGCTGCAGTTGTGGAGAGAATACATTTCTTGACTGAAAACTCCTATAAAGTTTAGGGACTGTATAAACCACAAGGAAATTCCATTTATGCTCTTAGTTCTATGAAACCCTTGTATCTGATATGCATTATGTTCATTGTCATATATGTATTTTTCTAACAAAGTGGTACATAGACTCAATGGGTTTCAAAGGACCCATAATCCAAAGAAACACAAAACTAAAACTAATAAATAAAAAAGAATAGTGAAGTACCTAGACATTTACAGCTAAAAGATATCACCTGTAGTTCATAAAACTCTTTAATAAATCCTGATACCTAAGTAATTTAAGAAATAAAATTATCTGTTTTCACTGATACACTTTGCCTTTGGTACAATTTAGAAGTTTTCCCCTTTCATGGTATGCACTTCTTGATACCAAAATTCCATAATTACATTGTAGAAAGTTATCAGCTTTCAGACTTAAATTTTCTTGTCTAAGAAATTACTCAGCCCTCATAATGTTGCCTGCTCATTTTAGTCTAATCCCACTGACTACTCAGTTTCTTGGCTAGGACACGTCTCATTTCAGCTTAGGGTTGGAGGTATGTCTGAAATAAGTAATGCACTCACTGTGAGGTCCCTGAATAACCTGAGTCCCAGACAGGGGCAATGATTCAACTGAATTTGCTATTTACTGGAGTCGTACTCTAGACTGGAAATAGAACGTAGGTTTCCCCCACATAATCCCTGAGACAGCAATGACATGAAACTCAATTCTTCCTCCAAACAATCAAAAAACAGTTAAAGAATGATCTGTAAATTCACCTAGAATAAAAGCTGGGAGTAGTAGAATATACAGTGCCAGGGGGTCTACCAAATGCTATGAAGCTGCTTAAAATCTAGTGAGTCTACCAACAACATATAAGCTATATAAGGGCAGGGATTTTTACACCTAGATAATGAAACAGTATTCATGAATACAGAGTGAACGTTTTAAATGATGTGTTGAAAAAATAAATTAACTAGGGCTGAAGAGTTAGTTCAGTGGTTAAGAGCAGACTTCTCTTCCAGAAAACACAGGTTCAACTCCCAGCACACATATGGTGCCTCATAATCATCTATAAATCAAGGTACAGGGGATCCAATTCCCTCTTCTGGCTTGTATTAGCACCAGGCATACACATGACATACAAGCATGCAGGCAAAATACCCATACACAATTTTCAGAAGTTTTGTGTAAATAAATTTATTCAAAAGCAAGAATTTAAACTTGCCTAAGAAAGGTCATAAGAACAAGAAGTTATTTCAAGGGCCAATCAAATGGCTCATCAGACTGTGCACTGGCAGCAAGTGCACACAGGCCTACACACACACACACACACACACACACACACACACACACACACACACACACACACAAAGAATAATTGGTTCCCTTCAAATCCTGAAGCATTTGTTTTATGCTCCATTAGTCCACTCAGTATCAACGTTTTCCATGTTATGTCTTTCTCTTCATATTTATTCTCCAAATCCATCCAGTATATTCCCATTTCTCTCCCTTTGTGTGCATGTGCACATGTGTTGTGTATGTGTCTATGTCTATGTTCATATGGGGTATAAACATGTGCATGTGGATATATATGCATGTGTATACGCATTCATGTGAAGGTCAGAAGTCAGTGCAGGCCACCAGAGAAACAAGGAGGACACTAAGAGACATACATGGTCTCCAGGAGAAGGGGAAAGAGACAAGATCTCCTGAGCAAATTGGGAGCATGGGGGGAGGGGAGAGGGAGTTAGGAGAAAGAAGAAGAGAAGAAGAAGGGAGAGAAGGACATGAGGGAGCAGGAAAATTGAGTCGGGGAAAGAATAGAGAACAAGAAAAAAGATACCATAATAGAGGAAGCCATCATAGATTTAAAGAGAAATCTGGCACTACAGAAATGTCCACAGATCTACAAGGATGACCCCAACTAACAATCTAAGCAATAGTGGGGAGGCTACCTTAAATGCCCTTCCCTGATAATGAGATTGATGACTACCTTATATGTCATCCTAGAGCCTTCATCCAGTAGCTGATGAAAGCAGAAGCAAACACCCACAACTAAACACTGAACTGAACTCCTGGAATCCACTTGCAGAAAGGGAGGAGCAATGAGCAAAGAGGTCAAAACCAGGCTGGAGAAAACCATAGAAGCAACTGACCTGAACAAGGGGTTGCTCATGGACCCCAGACTGATAGCTGGAAAACCAGCATAGGACCGATCCAGACCCCCTGAATGTAGGTGTCAGGCAGGAGGCCTGGGTAATCTATGGGGCCTCTGGTAGTGGATCAGTATATATCCCTAGGATATGAATGGGCTTTAGGAGCCCATTCCACAAAGATGGATACTCTTTCAGTCTAGAAACGTGGGGGGGGGTCTAGGCTCTGTTCCAAATGATATGACAGACTTTGAAGATCCCCCATGGAAGGTCTCACCCTCCCTGGGGAACAGAAAGAGGATGCAGGATAGGATAGAGAGTTGGTGGGAGATAGGGGAGGAGAGGAGGAAGAGGGAACTGGTATTGACATTTTAAACAAGCTTGTTTCTAATTTAAATTCTTTAAAAGAAAGGAAAAAAAGAAGTCAGTGCAGGATGGCATTTTCCCTTCACACTTCACCTTGTTTTTCAAGACAGGATTTCTCACTGAACCTGGAGCTGACCAACTGGCTAGACTGCAGGCTGTCTAGATCCAGAGATCTGCCCCAATAGCTCTGAGGGTACGGATAAAAGCAACTGTGCCTGGCTTTTATGTGAGTGCAAGTGACCCAAACTCAAGTCCTCATGCTTACATGCAGGCACTTTTCCAGCTGAACCATTTTTCCACCCCTCTCCTTACTTTTTAATGAATTTCTTCCCATCCTTCAAAACTCATCTCAAGGGTGACCTCCTCCATAAAGCCTTCCCTCCCTCAATCAAAAGCTTTTCTTCACACTTGTATACACTCCTATTGTTATACTCACCACACATATTATTACGGTTAGGTTCTTAAAGTGTTCCTCCATTCCTAATAGATCATCTGACAGTCATCAGTAAATGAATAGAGTTGTTTAAGGAAAAACTTAGGCAAATACCTCATCTCCTCAGCCAATTTTCCATTGATAGACACTCCATATTGAAGAAAAGATGACACTGGATGTCATGTGGTCTTCAGTATGAAATTCCAATGGATGGATTCATCATTCCTTTCATTTTAGATATTAGTGAGTAGACCTGGCCTGGTCTGAAGGTCAAGCTTTGGATGCCTGTGAGTAGGTATGAACTGTATATCTTGTGAAAGAAACCTCAGCAGACTCCTGTCTTTGACTGATATAACATCATCTTTTTCATTATTTTTAGAGATCATGCAAATTATTCAACAATTCCTAGATGGAATTTTGTCATATTCATTTAAATTGTAGGTGTTTGTATCTTTTTTAATATTCCAGCAGTAACAGCTACAGAAATACTGCTATATATATGCACGAAACATGTTATATGAATGTTATGATGTTCATTGTAACTTGTTTATAATTTTAAAAATAGAATGATACAGATTATCTATACATCAAGAAGAAAGTGTAATACAATTTAACCACTAAATAAAATTGATGTACATACACTGACACATAAAGTTCATTATTAATCAAGGAAACAAGTTAGGTTATAAAGGAATATACATAATAGACTTTATTTTACTAAAGTATATATAGAGCTCCATATTTTTGTGTTTGAGATGTCTGCTCACTCTTATATGGTAAAACCAATAAATTCACAAAATATTTGCAAAGGAGTTGGAAGTGAAGACAATTGTCTTTTTTGTTGTTGTTGTTGTCTGCACTTTTAAAATTATACAGGCATGTCTCCCTAAAATGCCCTCTAGTCAAATCATAGACATTGGGTAATATAATGTCTGCAGCTAATAACCCACCTAATGAAGTGTTGGGAAAAGAAACCAAATGATTTCACTGACAGTTTAGTCCTGATTGGTCTCTCAAGTTGCCTATCTCCTGTAGCTGAGCTTAAATTCCTTCCACAAACACAAATCAGCAAAAGATAAATTTTGCACCAGAGTAAAGTGGAGAAGTCATCTGGATTTTGAATATCATTTTGCCTGGTAGCACAAAGGTAACATTACTTGACCAGATTGCAAGGAGAATGGTCATTTTTAAGCGTCATCTTCTCTCAAAGGTTAGAAAAAAGTGAAAGAGTAACACAATTTTGTTCCTATAGGTAGCAAATCGAAACATGAAGACTACGATTCTACTGTTTTGTCTTCTAGGATCAACTCAGTCATTACCAGTAAGTGCAATGTGTTTACTTTATGTACTGACCAGCCTCAGCCCTGTCTCATTTACAAACATTTATCTCTTCCTGCTTTTCAACAAAACCACTCTATTCTGTGACCCATTTTGTAAGTTTCCTGATTTTATTTTCCATAGCAAAGGGTGGTAAACTAATAAGTTGTTCATGGAAATTTCAATGTTTTGCATTTTTAAATGCATACACTTTATCATAGAAAAATTTCAATTGTTTGGGTAAGACAATAGAGTTGACATGAGGAACAAAGTGAGAAACTGTTCTATCTTCCAAAACATAATTAAGATTTTTTTTAGTGGCTAGTTATTTGTTCATGACTAAAAGAGTAGACAATACTTTCTGATTTTTCTATTTGATAAACAAAGCACCTAAACTGGATAAACTCTTAGCTATAAAATTATGTGATACATATTATAAAATGGTGAGCAGTTTTTAATTAATACATATCATTACAGAACACATTGACATAAAATAGATTTTTTAATGAGTGGGTGGGGACTGGTGTTCCTTCAGTTGTCCTAAATTATTTTATAGACATAGAGATGGGCTATTTGATCTCTAAGAGATTCTTCTTTGATCAAAATGCTTAAAATATACAAGGGGAAATGTAATAGATGTACTATGAAAGGGAAAAAAACCCTTGAGTTCATCTGATACTTCCATCTCATCAGACTAATTGGAAACAGTCTAGATGGCAGACTTGGTTGATAAAAATGCGGTGATAAGAACAAAACTAAAGGATCCCCCTAGAATTCACAATGGCTACACATATCAAATCATTGTTTAGAGAAAACTTAGATTGTAAAACTTTCTGTGGAAAAAAAGGAACAGAGACGATGAAACAAAATGTGAATGACCAACAGATTATTAAATAGTTCTCAGTGCAGACTTAAAAACAAGGCCAAAAAAATTGTCCAAGTCTTGGCATCACTGGAAGACCACCCTTCCTGACCTCTGGGATGCATCCAGCAAAAAAAGCATTCTGGGGTCAGACGAGAGGGAAGGGTTTATTGTATTAAGGGACTAGAGTCACTACAGTGGTCCCAGTACTAACTCTGACACTCACCAGGTGACCTTGCACAGGTCTCTCTCGCCTTTAAAAATATAAACAAAGTCAGCCAACTAGACCATGTATTGCAAGCTCATTTCACCCTTAAGTTCAATGAGTCTTAATACAAAGTAAATACTCTCCAGTTTTGAAAGAGACTGGATTTCTGTTGCTAGATTGACATGTCACACGCAAGGCAAAAGCGGAAGACTCAAAAAATGCAGTTTAACTCAAGTGTTGGAAGGAACGTAAGAGCAGATGTGCACAGAACTGAAACTCTGAGTGTAAGACAAGTCCTAGCAGAGGAAACAGCACATCAATGGGAACTGGAGATAAGCACTGGAATCCCATGTGCCTCAATTTTCCTAGTCTCTGATCCTGAATCCAAGCACAAAATGTTTGAGAACTTAAAACTGCTCCAAATCTTATTGTTGTTTAGGGGACAACCTGTTACCTTCCTGATATAAAAGGTTCCAAAACCTCAAAGACATCCCTCCTGCTTTATCAAATATTTATATTCACAGAAGCAGATTAGCCCTGCTTTGGGACTTCCTGCAACAAAAACTGCAGATCAAGTGACACTACTAACCCAACAGCAATCAAATCAGGTAAGCACCCAACAATTGCAACGATTTACAAGCCAGGAATGGAAGCACATTAAGGCTGGTAAATTTTAAGTATCAGGATTTGGAGTCTCATGCCTCAAGAGGCTTTTTCTTTGGAAGAAGCTAAAGGTCTTGCTTTGACAATTTAAGTGGAGAGAGCATACAGCCTCTTTCTTTCATGTGAATTATATGAGCAGGAATTTGTTTCGACAACTAAATCTGGAAAGCTTTGAAAATTGGATGGCATCACCTATTTAGGAAGATGTGACCTTGAGATTCTCTGACATTCTCTGTGGTTTACATTAAAAATGACAGAATAAGAGATGTATAGAAAAATAACTACTTTTCTCATGGCTCTCTCAACTGCTTTCTCCCCTCTCTCTTCCCCCTCTGAGTATGTGTGAGTGTATGTGTGTGGGCGAGTGTATGTGTGGTGCAGGTGAATACATGTATAGAGACCACAGGTGGCCTTCCTGTGTTTCTGTCTTCCTCTATTGACTAGATTGGCAGGCCAGCGAGGCTGTGGGATCCCTCTTTTCCACCTCCAGCACTGGAATTACACATGTGGCTTTTCACATGAGTGCTGGGAATGTGAACTCAGGCCCTGTTGTTTGCACATAAAATGCTTTACCCACTGAGACCTCCACAAGCCCTCTCATAGCTTTCTTTAGTTCATCACTACCAATGAGCTGGTGTGATGCTGTAAAACCTGTTTTTTCAAGACATATTTCAATAACATTGAAAAATGCTTTCTCTTTCAGCTCCAATCTTCTCTACCCCTCCAACTCTCACTCTCTTGTAAAGGACCCTGTCTTGCCTTCAACTAGACTCTTAAGTATTAGTCAAAAGTATTAAAAGTTCAAGCTGTCCCTTTAGTTATTGAGCATTGTAGATCATTCAATCAATCAAATCAATCTGACTCATGAAAGAACCTGTAGCTTATACTATTAGAGACATTCTTTAGGGAAAAGAATATAAAATTTTATGTGAAAAAATAAGTACTAAAACAAAAATATTATATCTAAATAATAATCATAAATAAATCTCCCGATAAATATTATAAACTTGACATATTGCCATGTCATCCAGGACCACATAGGAAACAATGAGGCCTCATGCGGATAATTCAAGGGTAATGAGAGAGTTTGAACTTTTGCCTTTATTGATTTTGATGGCAAATATCTACCTTTGAGAGCAATATAAACTAGCTGAGACTATCCACCATTGACATTACAGTTGAAAAAGATAACCTCTTGTCTAATGGTCAATTTTGATGCCCCGCAGGTCTTTCCTTCCATAAGTCTAATACCACTAACACAGCTGCTCACCCTGGGGTCAGACCTACAATTGGTAAGTACTCTTTAACATCACCTCACTACCTTTTGTTTAATAAATAGGGCACTTGATACTGATCATGGAGGAGATTCAAGAACATATAGAAATGTCTATTCACAAGTACACATGCACATGCATTCACTGCACATGGGCTGGAAGAGAATCAATAAGATATTCAAAGAGAATCAGTAATTCTTTGAAAGTTTTCCTCATAAATCCCTCTGTAGCATTGATCTTATTCTCATTTTTAATCTCCACATTCTGATACCTCTTCTCTAAGATCCTGCCTCAGTTTCTACATCAGACATTCCTTGATGTCCCTTATTATATTTGCAAGCCACATAAACACTATGAGTGCTGTTGTGACCATCTAGGGTGACAACATGACATTAAGATCTTCACTCTGTTCATAGAACATCTATCAAGAGTCATCTGTTTGGGGAAGAAAAATGTTTCCCTCATGATTATTCCCAGTGTCCAGATTTAAATGCACTCTTAACCCATGCTCTAGACTTGCTATGTTACTCTATAGCTCACAACTTTGTCTGGAAATACTATGAAGTAATTCATTTCTTAAGGGAAAGAAGCAATCAGGAAATGTCCAATAACAATTATTATAGCCAAAAGTGATAAATTACCTAAATTACCTCAAAGATGCCAAAGAAAAATTTAATTCCTAGGGAATCAGCGACAAGAAGGCTCAGTGTGTAAAAACATTTGCCACAAAGGATTGACAACCCACTTCTGAAGTCCAAAGACCACATAAAGGGAGAAGGAAAAAATAGACACCATAAAGGTGTCCTCTACCTCCACAAACACATGCTATGGCACGAGAATATACACACTAATTGTTTTTCTTTTTAGTTTAGTGTAGGAGTTTCAGAGACAGCTCAGTGTAAAGAGCACTTGTAGGGGATTTGTAGCAGTGTAGAAGGCTCTACACTGCTCTGCCTTCTACACTTCTCTTGTAGAAGACCTGAGACTTGGTCCCATATACCACATAGATAAACTTACAGCTTCTTGTAACTCCAGCTCCAGGAGATCCAATGCCCTCTTCTGTCCTACTTAGATACCTGCACTCATACACACACAAACACACACACACACACACACACATACATACATACATATATATATATATTCATACACACACTGACACACATGCATACATGTAATTAAAAATAAAAACAAATCTTTGGAAAAATTATTGTAGAGGTTAGTAACAGACCTTATTGTGCTAGGAAATTAAACAAATATTTGAATTTCATCTCTGTGATTAATTACGGACACAGTATAATAGTATGAATTTACATAAGAAATCCGTCCTTTAAGTGTATTTTTTTGCCTTTGGTAAACATGTTTTAGGCTCCTAGATACTTGAACTGAAAGAAATATAATGAAAGTTTTCTTTGATGCCCCACAGCTCAACCCTGCCACTGGACTGGCACATGGTGCACAGGCACTCCCTTTCACCCTGGGTTCCGTGAACAGACAGCAACAGCTACAACCTCAGGTAACTGAGGGAAGGGTTTCCTAAACTCTGAGGGCATTTTCTCTCAGCTGAAGCTATAAGAGTCAACGAGCCTTTTTCAAAATTCTTAGAAACTATCTGCAAATGTTTTGCATGTGTTTTTTCTATGAATACAAAATGGCAGTAATTGTTTCCACAGCCTTAAAATACTCACATACAATGTTATTTTTAATAACTGTATAGTATGCTGCATATACATAATTCCTTATTGTAGAAAATCAGGGGCTATTTTTCAAATTTTTGGCTTCTAAATTCATGTTAAAGTAACACCCTGTATTGTGGAATGTTTCTTTTGAGCTCATTCTTGAACTTTTTGGAAACAAAGAGACATAAATGTCTTGATGATAAAAATCTTGAGAATAAATTTTGCCCTCTGAAAAAGACCAAATAAACAAGCAAATGAAATGCAAGCCTCCTTAATACATGATGCGAATGCGATTCATACACAGACTGTCCAGCTTCAGTGTCATCGCTACCCTACCCTATCAAGAAGACATGAATGAATAGAGTATGGGGGCCGAAGGCTTCCGTGGGGAGTGGGAGGAATGGGGAGGAGCATCACAAAAACACACTCGGTCAAATGTCATGCTGGTATCTATTAGATCACGTAGTATGGTGATTTAAAAATCAAAATGTTTTAAAAGAAACAGACTCAATGCAGCATCTTATTCCCCAGAGTTAGAAACATTGGTGGGCAGGATACAAAAGGTTTAGTATAAAAGATCTGACATTGCACATTCCCCAGCATGCAGGAATGTTAAGTCATTGATTCTTCATTCTCTCTGGGGATTCAACAATGCCTCTGGGCCAGGTCTAGTTCCAGTCCCTTCAACCTGCCTACATAGAATGGATAACTTTTTGGAAGTATTTTATAAGCATATATTATATAATAATGGGTCCTGTTATGGCATTCTCATACATGCATATGAACTATTTTGATCACAGTTACCTCCCATTACTTTCTATGAGGCCCTCTTTGTCCTTCTCCCACTGACTGGCCTTCCTCTTTCCAGCTAGTCTTCCTTCCTCTTTCACATTTTTATTGTGTGTATGTGAACCAATGAGCTTAGTTAGGTTAACTTACAGAAGCATAGGTGAGGTATCACTTACAGGAACATGAGCAACTTACCCCATGGCTGTATGACTGAAGATGTCTCTCTGCTACCCCAGCAAGTATTAGCTGCCTATAGATCCTCAGAGAGGGACAGGGCCTCATGGGTCCTTCCCCTGGCCATGACAGAATGTTGATGTGTCCAGTCTTATGCAGGATTCTTTCAGGTAATCACAGCTGCTGAGAATTCAACAGCGTGACAACCACGTCCTTCCCACAAGCCAGCATTGCAAAGTACTCTGTCCCTTCCTCCAGCTCTTCCATTCCATCTGCCATGCTTCCCTCTGAGCCTTAGGAAGGGTGGTAAGAGAAGCCTCACTTTTCATTCTCAGCACTTAGATCAGTTACAAGTCTCTGCCGGGGCTGCTGCCCATCAGCCAAAAAAAGAAATTTCTCGGGCCAAAGATGACAGAAGTTACTAATTTATGAGCACAAACATAAATGTTTGGAAAGCAATATAAAATCGGATCACTTTGTATGATACAGAGAACTGTGTGTGTAGCCTTTAACTACCAAAGGCCAAACCTGGGAGAAAAGACTGAAGAACCACAAAGCTAGTCAAATCCCAGCTCTCTGTGTACATGGCCTGTGTGGTGTGGGCAGGTTATTTTAACCTGATGGGACTCATTTTCCTCAAAATTTCAAACAGGTACTAAAGTAGAGGTTTCCTTTAACTGTTATAAAGATGAGATGAACCTAGAACAGTTTGTGTCACACAGTAAATACATGCATATTCACTGTCATTACTTCAAGCAACTTCCAATCAGTGACTAAAACAATGTATTTTCTTTATAATTACACTGCTGAACAATTAGGTTATGTCTCATCATCATTTTCACTTATGTATTCTTTTTATTTACTCATTTTTGTTAGTTTCACTCCAGTTTTTTATTAAAAAGGAGATTTTAATTGGATTTTCTTCACAATTCTGTCCCTTCATTGCTCACCCTGACGGTTGGATTTGTTCTTCCTCCTGATTTAGCTGCTGACTTTGCTGTTGGGAGACAAGAAGCTGACTGACTATTGTAGAAATATGTGTGCTTGTCACTGGTGGCCTGACAGGCACTGCTGTGCCAACTGAATGAAAGCAATGATAAGGTTGGGAGCCCATCAGATTCAGATTTTCCAGGGTAGTACATACTACATTAAAAGTCAACTTTGGTGATTTCTCCTGACCCTATGGATTTTCTATGAAAATAAAAATAAAATTTTAAGACTCAAGCTCCTTTTTGTAAAATTTAGGCTAGTTTTTTTGGAGCAGTAGAGAATACCACAGCATGCCTACTCATCATCCATTTCAGCCAGCAACTCATAACCCAGCTATCAGCACTTCTCACCTGTGCTGTGGTTGTGGGCTGCTGAGCTAGCGTAACCCATAACCCACCCCCTAGTATTCCACTTTAACAGTGATTTTTGTCCCTTTATTTTTCAGATGCTACCCATTATTGTGGCACAACTTGGAGCTCAGGTAAGGCTATTGTTCAATTGCCTATGTGCAGAATATGTCTCTTGTCTCAATTTGCCAATCAGGCACCAGGATTCTAACTCACTTTACACTGTGTGAGCACTGAGAATAGCAATGTATAACTCTTACCTAACCCCAGCTGGCTGGCAGATGCAGTTCTAAGTTGTTCAGTTGTGTTTCAGTTAACAGTAACACAATCTCTTGTAAACATCATCATTATGTCCACTCTGAAAATGAGTAAGATATAGTTACTCCTCCAGACACACCCTTAGTAAAGCATCCAGTCACCCCTGAACCACACTGTTAAGAAAGAAATAACTTAATTGGATTAGTATGATGATTCATGATATGGGAGATTTATTTTTTAATCTCAAAACTATTTTAGCTATATGTGTTTATGCCAAAATGCTCAACCCCTTTTCTTTTCTTATTTGTCTCTTACAAACACTACTCTTGAGCTAACTGATAAAATTACCAAGGACCAAGATCAGCATCAGCATCAACATCAGATGGAAGCCCCACTCCTAAAATCAGAGACAGATATTAGTATAAAATCCCTATCAACCCTTTGTGATTAAACAGACATTTGTATAGCTTTTCCTTCAGTTTGCAATCCTCCTGCCTCAGCCTCTCCAGTTCTGGGATTACAGGAGTGTGTCACTCACCATACCCACTACTTCCGTCTCTTTATTCCATATCTAGAGACTACGTCTCAAGAAGAGAAATTCTGAAACACAGCAAAGATTAGGTGCCACACACTCATTAAATAATATTTATGGTGTATAAAAATACAGCTAAACTTTAAATTTAAGACCAACCCAAAAAGAAAAATTCAGTGAACTACAGCATAACTACAAATAAATATAACATTTAAAATTACATTTATCACAATTTAGCAGTAACACAGCTAAGGGGCTGTTATGAAATACTGAGAGAAAAATGAAAGACAAAAATACTATATAAATGACAGTTTCTATTACTAAAGAATAAATTTGTAGAAAACACCTGGAAAGATCATCATATGTAAATCATAAAATTATTTTTCTGTTACTTTTTGTATTCTCCGGACTCTTTCCAATATATATCTAACTGTTTCTATTTGTCATTTTGCTTTTAGGGTACTCTCCTAAGCTCGGAGGAACTGGTAAAAAGAAAATAGTTTAAGTCACTACCATTTTAAATTCTTCTCACTTCTCCCAGGGCCCTCTGACCTTTCAGTTCTTTCTAGCACACCCCTCCCCTACGTTCTCCTACAATGGGCCCTGCATTTTTATAGCTCCTTTAATTTGATTATTCTTTCTCAGCTAAAGATTTTGTCATCTTTATCCTACTACTTCCCATTAATTTAACTTTGCATTAGTTTTCTATATAGTGCTATCAGACTCAATATTAACCCAAAGGGCCATTGCACACTTTTAATCTTTATTTTGATTGACTTAAACTTTATATTGAAGTTTATACACTATTCTACAGATGTAGAAGCAGAGTAATATAAATATTGACTCTGCAGGAATGATTAAATCTGTTGTACTTTCTATTTTATGAGATTTATTTATATTCTTGTAACGATGAATGAATTCTTTCCTATAAACACAAATAAATGAAGAATAGGGTTATAGTAAAATTCTTATGACCATAACTCATAATTTCTGTGCAATTATGCACAGGTCATGTTTAGAAACATCTGTTTGGACTAGTGTGTTATCTAAGCATGACAACAGAAGTGAGTAATTGAGGTATTATCATAGAACACAGTTTTGAAGTGGTTTTTATATAATGAAAATGGTATGTATTATATTTGCTATACCACCCCCAAATAATTATCCAGTCACAGGGATCACCATCTACTTTGTCAGCACAGACACATGCACACTCACTTCTTCCTGCTGTTGCGACATTTCCACAAAACAAGTCTCTCACTTTTAGCCCTCACTATACAAAGTACATACCCATGACAGAACTGTACAGATAAACTGAGGCTCAGTGAACTTAAGTTGTCTCAAAGGCAAAATAATAGATCTAGATTCACAGCCATGAGTTCTATTATATTAGTAGTTTTCAAGCACTTTTTAGTTCAACCCATGGTAATAATGGTATTTTCGTGCAGCCTAAGATACACACATGATCTCACAAAACAATACTTACTCTTATATGGAATGGAATTTGATAATTTATTATTTTCTCTGATAATCATAATTTCCATATTTATTTCAAAACCATGTGTCATGAGCCTTATGAAACGATCTATATTGTAATCTGCCTCTCTCATCTAGCAAGCATCTAGCTGTGCCTTCAGGATCTCTTAACTCTGAGACAACATCTCCCTACCCATGGACCTGGCATTCAGATCACCTCAAGAGGACTTTGAGAACTAGCTTAAACTCAGACTACCAGGCCCAGCGTAGACCTGCTCAAATAGAATCTAACCATGAAAGCCTCTGAAAAGGAGGTGTTCCTTCAGGAATCTCAGGAAACACCCAGGCAGCTCAAGCGCCAAGAGAACTACTCCTGACTGAATACAGTGATGCTCTTGAAATGTATGCTAAGTGAAGCTTCAAGGGAGTAGATCAAGTCACAAAGGCAATGTCTAGTTAATCAACTTGCAATAATTTTTCTATTAACTTGCAGTCTCAAACTTGTATGGGCAAAAGAAAGGCTGTATTTTAGGTCAAGGACAGCTAGAGCTTCTCAATGTTTTGTGGATTAGATTTTCTACCTTAGCACTGTCTCCAGACATGCTTCATAACTCCCAGCTGTCCTTCTGCTATGATTCCCTTTTTTGAGGAAAAGGAGGCCAGCAAAAAAAAATCCCAGCTCTGAAACCAGCAACAGACTTGGCCCTGACAGGGGAACATTTCTGATGAGTGCTGGGTCTCTGTGACCTTTCTCTGACTTAGCCTCTCCCTTCTGCCACTCCTATCCCACCCTGCTATCCTCCCTCTAAAGAAAATAAGATTGGTTAACCTTGTTCAAATGATTTTTTCTGTTTCTTTCCCTATTCTAGCCATTAGCCTCACAAATCTTCACAGGCCTCCTTATCCACCCCTTGCTCCCTGGAGGCATTCTACCCTCCAGTCAGACAGGGGCTAAACCAGATGTGCAAAACGGAGTCCTTCCTACGAGACAGGCAGGAGCAAACCCTGCTGTACAGGGAACTACCCAGGGCTACATCACAACTCCTGGTGTCACAGATGATGACGACTATGAAATGAGTACCCCTGCAGGCATTCGAAGGGGAACACACACCACGGAGGGAACCCCTATAGACACACCAAATAGTAAGTTGTCCCAGCTTACACAATTCTCACCCTGAAGGTCATCTGCAGAATGGTAGAGAGGAGTTCTTTGCCTTGCACTGACAAATACAGACCTCAAGCGAGGCAAGGAGTCTTCTTTATTCACAGACATCAAGACACATGAAGGAACAGTTTTTCTAGGCTACAGATCCAATGGTATTAACCCTATAAGAGACAGTCGGTTTCTGATATACTTCCACAACATTCACGCATGCATACACACACTCACACACTCATACACACACACATGCACACATGCACATCGGGCCTGTAACCAACTTGGAATGAGCCTTAGAATTTTTTACCATAATATTGTAAGGAGCTACTGGCAATATCTGAAATTAGCACAGTATATAAACCACCAGTCTGTATTTCCTCCATCGAGTGTAGGCACAGAATGCTTTTACCTGCATCTAAAATCACTTTGTCTCTTCTAGGAACTCAGTAAGCTGCTTCAAATCTCCTTGGCTAAACCACATCACAATTGGACGTTACATGTGAATCATCTCCATTAATCACATGACAAAAAGACTGAGACACATTGAAAGGTCTCAGAAGGTATCAATTCTTAGTTAACCAGAGATTTTTCTTGAAATTTCAGGGGACATACTGAATGAAGAGAAGGCCAAGTTCAAAAACATTATTAAATAGATCAATTTGTCTTTGAAATACTTAGTATGCTACATCAAACTTGAAAGATGTGTAAATTAAAATATATTTTGAAAACTGATGTTTTTCTCCTTTGGGACTAGAAGAAAGTTGAATGCCTTCATAAAATGCATTTATAATCATGACCACTACATTCATCTGGGTTGAAATCGAGCCACCGTCCCCCCCATGTTGTGTGATATTTTGATCACACTCTGACACTCCTAAGACTGCCAATGACATTTACTTTGAATCAGAGGGCAGGAATAGTTATTAACTGACCAGAATTAGCCATAGAAGTTCTCTAGGACCCAGGACTTATAATAGGAAGTAATAGGGAGGGGATTGGAACGAGTCATTGCCTTTCGGATTGAGGAAGAAGAAAGAGGAGAAGTCACTGGTTGTTTCTACACCATTACTCTGATCAATCAGGTTTTACCTTGCTATCCGACTTCTGAGTTTTATTAATAATTGAACAATATAAGTAACTACTTTGTCCCAACCCGCCATGGATCAGGCTAATAGTGTTTCTCAGTATGTGGATCTGGTACTATCAGTATAAAATTGACCTAAATACACATCATGAAATTCATTCTATCCTAAGTCCTTCAATGGTTAAAGATTATCATCATCATTTAATATCTACTGAATCTTAAATATACATATTAGTTGTCATTTTTTGTGGTCCAACTTCAAAAAATCAGCAAGAACTGTTTTTGTCTTGAAATTTCCTCATATTTGACAAATCAAAAGATATTATGATTCTTTCATCTGCTTCTACATTGGATGTTGGAAATTTTCACAGTATTAAGATTCAGACAGGGAGAACAGAAATGTAAAATAACACTTGAATGTTATTGCAAAAATACATTTACTTTGCCAATACATCCAAAGGATTACAGAGCCTTCCAGTGATCCTCACATCCAATGCTGAGGACAACTTTGAGCAAAGTTACATCTGTTTACCTTTATCGTCTTCAGATTACATGTATTGATCTTCACACATAGAAATTCCCACTGTTTTACTATCACAAATGAATGACTGAACACAGTATTTCTAATAAAAGTCAATTTCATTCAATCCTAAAGCAAAAATTAAAAATTGTTATAAACTTAATTATACGTGCTGCACATCAAATATATTCCTTAGTGGAAGAACTTCCCCGATAAAGGAGGCATCAGTGAAAACTGAAACTTGTGTTACTAATTTTTACTATCTTATAACTAAGCAGTTTTTTTAGACTAGTCTCTGGCTTCAAATGTTTAGATATTTTTCCCTTCAGTTAATGACATAAATGCTTACTGTTACCAACCACCATAAAACACAGTCACATAGTGATAGCAACTTTGACCTGTCACTTGGGAGTCTCAATACTTGGTGCACAAAAACAATGAGTGACAACTGAAGCATTCCTAGAAGCCATTTCTGAATGGAACAACCAGAAATAACTATTCAAAAAATACATAAATATAGTACACTAAGCCTAAACAAAATGTATCCCCAATTTAATCTTCCTTAGGCACATCCAAAAATTACCTATGACCATACCAATACCATCTGATACAAGTCATAGTAAAAAGAAAACTCCAAGTGGGCAGAAGTCATAACCAGTTGTGGTTAAACTATCCTGGTATCATAGCCTATAATCCCAGCTATTAAGGAGGCTGAGGCAGGAGGATCACAAGTTCAAGCACTGACACAGCTATATAGAGAGTTCAAGTTCAGCCTGAGCAACTTAGTTAAACCTTCTCACAATAAAAACTTTAATTGCAAGCTAAGCAATAGTGGAAGGACCACCTCGAATGCCCATTCCTGATAATGAACTTGATGTCTATAACTATCCGGGAGCCTTCATCCTGGGACTGATGGAAGCAGAGGCAAACACACAGCTAAGCACTGAACTGAACCCGGGGGAACCCAGTGACAGAGAGAGAGGAATGATGAGCAAATTGGCAAAGAATGGGCTGGCAAAACCAGCAGAGACAGCTGATCTGAACAGGGGAGTGCTCTTGGACCCCAGACCGACAGTGGGGAGGCCAGAACGGGACTGATCTGGACCCCCCCAAATGTGAGTGTCAGTGAGAAGGCCTGGACAACCTATGGGGCTCTGAGCTGTGGATCAGTGTCTATCCCTGGTATACAATCTGTCTTCATGTGCTTATAGCACAAAGAGAGATGCTCTCTCAGCCTGGACTCTTAGGGGAGTGCCTTGACCCTACCAAGAGTAAAATGATAGACTCTAGACATCCCCTATGTGGAAGGATTTGGCAATAGGGTGGGAGGGAGGGTGGAAGGGGAGTGCGGGAGGAGGAGAGGGAGAGGGAACTGGGATTGACATGTAAAACAAGCTATTTAAAATTAAAATAAAAAAATAATGTATAAAAAAAAACTTTAAAAAGTCTAGGAGACTAGGAGAGATGGCACAGAGGTTAAAGGGCTTGTTATGCATATACAGTACTGTAGAGTGATGCCTTTTCGAACAGCCTGGTTCCAGAGCCACATCAGTCCCAAATAAACACACAGGAAGCTATATTAATTATGAAGTTGTTGGCCTTGCTTGTTTCTTACTGGCTAGCTCTGACTTAAGTATTTATCCCATAATTGTTAATCTGAGTATTTCTCTTACTGGAGAAGTTACCGGGCTTCTTATCCCTATGGCGGTTACATCTTGACTCCCTGTGTTTCTCCTACCCAGAGTCCTCCTCGACTCCTAGTCCCACCTATCTTGCTTCCCTATTGGCCAACAGTGCTTTATTGACATATACACAGGACTTCCCCAACATCTCCTCTTTTCTGTTTAAACAAAAAGAAAGGTCTTAACTTTAACATAGTCAAATTATATATAAAAGAACAGTTATCAAGTAAGAACACAGTTACAATATTTTGTTTATCAACATTTAGCAAGATTTAAAGAAAATATCATCTATCCCATTCTTGCGAGTCCAAAGTCCTATATGTAGCTTATCTTTTATCATAACTAAGGAAAACTATAACTATAACTATCTGCCTTCAACTCTATCAAAGACCACAGAAGGATAATATATAAACACTAGGATTGACAGACACATCTTACTGCCTGGACAATCACCCGAAGTTCCCCTGTAACGTTGGGGCATCCATCTTCAGCCCATAGGCCACAATGTGTCCAGAAGATTTCTCAGCAAAGCAGGAAATTTCAAACTGTCCATCTGCATTGGCACTCTGTCAGTCATTTTTCTGTGTTCTCAGAAAGTCTCGTAGACTCTTCCATGAATCAGGAACCCTGAAGGACTGTTTGAGTTCAGTAGTCACTTTCCTGTGGGTCCTGCATGTCCAGTTTATACAGCAACAGTCAAGCAGTACAGGCAAGAGCAGTTTCTTGCCCAAATGGCTAATCTTGCCACATTGAAAGCAAACTCCATAACAAGTCTCTTCGACACCCATCTTCCTCTCAGACGTAATAGGTCTTGCCAGGAGCAGATATTTCTCATTATCAAGAAAAACCCTAAACCATTTTAAATGCCATTTTCTGAAGGTCTTTGAAAGGTTTGAAGACTGTCTATCTATCTCAAATTTATTTCTGTATATCTAGAAAACCTAACTATAAGTTCTGACTATTATAAGTAACTATCTATAGTCTGTATTGAATTATGCATTATGTTTTAAAAGATCAGTATAAGCATAATACTTAATCAAGAGGAGAAATATACACATCACAAAATTGACCTTGAATTTGTCTCAATAAATGAAAAACCATACCAATACAAAGTATTCATTTCCATACCATAATCCCCTTTTTCCTTTAAAAAGAGATTGGTTGTGATCATTAACAAATTATAAACAATCCCATTTAAATGAAAACAAAGATTTATAAACAAGATGGGAATTAGGACGTTGCTCATTCCTAACTGCTTCGTGCTGGAAGGGGGCTCTGTTCATACCATGGGGATCATGACGAAACTCAGAAACCTGTATAAGTCCTTAGTTTCAGGGTCTGTAAGACTACATCATCTCAGCTGTTTTAGATGTTGAATCACTTGGGCCGTTGCTTCCAGGGGTCTAGGTTCATCAAACCACAGAAGCCTGGAAGGAATCCTCAGCTTTTCATTTTCTGTAGAAACATAAACAAAAACTCCTTTCCCAAGTAACATATCCTTATACTTAAATTTTGAAGTCAAGGCATTTTCAAAAGATATAAGTTGAATTAATTCAGCATCATTTATAATCAAGTGTACTTTAGTAGTTGTTCCTTCCTTAGCAATCAAAAAACCTAAAAACATAATAGCATACAGTATCCAGACTTTCTGTGTATTTTTCATCTTTACGTGGCTTATTTATCTATTATTATTATTCTATTTCTTTTATTTTTATTTCTTTATTTATTTCTCTGAGACAGGGTTTCTCTGGAAATCTGCCTGCTTCTGCCTCTGCAGCAAATCCTACCGGCTTGTGCCACCACAGCCGGCTTCTCTATTTACCACTATGCTGTTTCTTTTTCTCTCTCAATCTTACGTATATTTTTAAACACACTGTAAACCTTTAGAGGTTTTTCTTCATCCATGTCTGACTTTACTGTAAATCTTTATGTTTTTCTGGCCATGTGTCTTATCTGTTAAAACCATGGCTGTTTAAACTGCAGTTTTTCCAAGATGGCGGGCGTAAGCGTGACTCCAGCTTACCGCCTCAGTCCATGCTGACATCCAGCAAAAGCTGCTGGCGTGGAGATGGGGTCATTGCCACTTCCAGATGTACGTATAACTTTTCAATTGTTACCAGAGACTCTAAAAAGAACCTTGTTGGGTTTTGTTTTGTTTTGTTTTTTGCTTATGCTGAGTCAGGAAGCCTGCCTTAAGCGAGCCCTGTGAGTCTCTGCTTGTCTCTAGCAAAACAGAGCCCACGTGAGAAAATGCTGCCACCAAGATCCCATGCTTTTCTCCGTTCTTTTGTTTCTAAAATTTCTTTAAAGCTTTTGTCATTCTACATGGAAATTCAATCCCGCTCCTGACAACCATTTGTAGAGTTATGCCTTTTCGCCAGCCTGGTTCCAGAGCCGCATCAGTCCCAAATAAACACACAGGAGGCTATATTAATTATGAAGCTGC